CTACATAGTTGAACTGTTGGTCTTTGAGAAGTAAAATAGGCAGCACTTACAGCTGTAGTCCAGTCCCAGACACTTTGTAGTCTACATAGTTGAACTGTTGGTCTTTGAGAAGTAAAATAGGCAGCACTTACAGCTGTAGTCCAGTCCCAGACACTCAAGATCGTGTTTTATCAGGTATAAAGATTCTCATCTTTGGCTCGAAACTTTATACCTGATAAAACACTCTCTCTTGTGTTTTAAACTATACATAAAGGTCCATGCATGTGACCAAATAGGCTCATTAATTATGTATGAGTTTTTGAAAAAAGYTGTCAGAAAACAAAACTAGCACTTCTCTTGCTCCTGCACATTGTTCTGGGCAGATTAAAATGATTAAGATGGAATCCATGATATTTACCAAAACGTTGTGTGTTTCAGGTGATATTCATGGCCAATACACAGACTTGCTGAGACTTTTTGAGTATGGTGGTTTTCCTCCAGAGGCCAATTATTTGTTCCTGGGTGACTATGTGGATCGTGGGAAACAGTCTTTAGAGAGCATATGTCTTTTACTTGCTTACAAGATCAAGTACCCTGAAAACTTCTTCCTTCTAAGAGGAAATCATGAATGTGCAAGTATTAACAGAATATATGGGTTTTATGATGAGTGTAAGTATTATCCTGAACCAGCACTATTTGCACAAAAACTCACTTTGATCAATGGCATCATTTCTTCCAAAAGAGTTTTGTTTGGGTTGTACATGTAATTGCAAAAGGATACATTTACAAATGGGAACAAATATGTTTTTTATGATATTGTTCGCAGTCTAATTAAATCCAGGACAACAAAAATCAGCCATTCTTACGAGTTGAGGACAACCTCTAATTATAAAAAAAATATTACGAGAACTGAGAGACTTAAAAAGATTTTGTATCTGTAAAGTATCTGTAATGTAGTTATAGCGTTAAGCGTTCTACCCCTGCCTAATTTGTTATATCATGAGTGTTGCGCACTTCCTGTAATTCAKTGCTTTCCCCTGTGTTACAGTCTGCAATAGGAATGTAATAAACATATTATCAATTATTAATTAATTAATTAAGTAGATAGGAGTTTCTCTGTTATAAAGGACACTTGCATTTGAATTAAAACAGTTATTCCATGAAATTGAGTTGTACATGATCTGAGAGCTGATAGCTAACGAGGCTCCGGCCTTGTATGCAAGATTGARTGGAATAGATGTTTTATTATATGCAAATACTAAGATCATGAGAAAATACCCTGCCGGGTTGTTCAAAGGCCGATTAGTGTTAATCCAGGGTTAATATAACTCCCTAGGTTTTCTAAGAGTTAACCCTGGATTAGCGCTAATCAGGCTTTGAACATCCCGGCCCTGAACTCTAAAGAGCTGAATAAGTATTAATTTGTTGACAAGCAGTGTCTGTCATGTGCGCACCAACCACAGTCACTTCAGTGTAAAATATCACTTCGAAAATTGTAAACAAATCAACAACCATGTTAAAGATACTTTTTTGTCCGAGATCTACACTTAATCTTGTGGCTTTTGTGCTGTAATTAGGAACTTCGTTTTCGTGTAAGAATTGATTTTGTATTCATAAGCACACTAAGATTTTAATATCTCGCCATTTTGTTTTTTCTCCACTCATTGTACATGAGCTGAAATAGATTAGTAGTAGAGAAACCAATCAGAGAGCAAGCTCATATCTCATGATTGTGTTATGTGTTTTGAGATATATTTTTGTCTGAATGTTTGTAGAGAGCACTGTGTCTTACAATAGTTTGTCTTTATAGGTAAACGAAGGTATAACATTAAACTATGGAAGACATTCACAGATTGTTTTAACTGCTTACCAATAGCTGCTATTGTGGATGAAAAGATCTTTTGTTGCCATGGAGGTAGGTATACATCAATGTTGTATTTTGTTTATATATAAAATTAATGTACCCTTTGAAACGGTTATTTTTTTCTGTTCAATTTGAGGATTGTCACCTGATCTTCAGTCAATGGAGCAAATAAGGAGAATAATGAGACCCACTGATGTACCAGACACTACTGGTGAGTCATAGCACGTTGATATGAGAATAATGAGACCCACTGATGTACCAGATACTGGTGAGTCATAGCACGTTGATATGAGAATAAGAACCCCTGATGTCCATGGAAACACTGTTCCACAATGGGAACAAAGCTTTACATTTGTCCTTGATATTTTGTTTTTAAGGTCTACTTTGTGACCTGTTATGGTCAGATCCAGACAAAGACACCAATGGATGGGGGGAGAATGACAGGGGCGTCTCTTTTACCTTTGGTGCCGATGTGGTCAGTAAATTCTTAAACAGGCATGACCTTGATCTTATATGCCGAGCACATCAGGTAATAATGGAACTAACTGAACACATTCTGTTATCAGTGGTAGACTAGGCAAATCTACGGTATTTGGAATAAAGTTTGTTCAACATTTTGTGCAAATTACTGAGAAAAGTTTGACACATAATAGACATCAAAATACTTCCACATGAACTCTTGCAAAAAACTTGTCTGTGTGCAAAATTTGCAATTACTGCAAGCAGGGCTGCTCAAAACTTTGTGGAATGTGGTATGAACAGATTGTTATATTGTTGAATAGAATTTCGAGTTACAGTTGTTATACAACCAGTTAGATTTAATTTTTATGCACCAGTCAATGTAAATGCAGACATTGCAATAAAAATATATCCCAATTTTGGGGGGATTAATCTAGTGGTGACTACCAAATATGATATCAAACATAATAATGTAATATTGTTGTGACCTCTGTGAATGTTTCAGGTGGTTGAAGATGGCTATGAGTTTTTTGCCAAGAGACAGCTTGTCACTCTGTTTTCAGCCCCCAACTATTGTGGTGAATTTGACAATGCAGGTGGCATGATGAGTGTAGATGATACTTTAATGTGTTCATTTCAGGTAAAGTTTTATATATGACTTGCATTTATTTATCCAAGAGGCTTGTACTGTATGTTTCAAAGTCATTGAAAAGAAAACTCTTGAACCAAGGACCTGACATGTTATTAGTTCATACTATTAGTGACTTATGTTGTTCGTTTTATAGATTCTGAAGCCTTCAGAAAAGAAAGCGAAATATCAATATGGTGGTTTGAACTCAGGGCGACCAGTCACACCACCAAGAGGACCAGGAAATAAAAAGGGGGCAGGAAAAAATAAGTAGAAATGTAATTATCTTTAGCAGTTTGCTGAGAGGCGCTAATAGTTTACTTGTATAATAATTCAGTAATATCAAAGACTTATGCCTAGGTAGTCTTGTGTGGAAAATCCTTGATTGGAAAACTAGTGAAAATATTGAATGTCAAAACGACATATTTAATTTATAAAGCATGTTTCAGGATTATGAATTTCTCGTCTAGTTGAACGATGTCGTTTTGATATTTGGAAGAACCCGTGTTCTTTCAAAAACATTTGAAGATGAAACTAGTAAAACTAGTGATTTTTATTGTTAAACAAGCAACTTTGAATACTGGATTCAAACACTGTGATTTTTACCCTCAATGCTTGATTGGTCAATGAATGATGTCTTTGTAAACATTCTTTAAAATGCATTGTCATTTGAACAAAAAACAAATTTGAAGATTATCGAAGTTTGACTTCTGAAAATAGGTGCTTCTGTTGGTTGACCCTTGATGTCCTCTGCTGCTGCTATTACAAACCCACATGTATGAAGGAAATTACATTGTCAGACACCTATTTCAGAAAAGGTTGASCGAAAGGTACTATGGGTATTGATTATTAATGGAGAAATTGAATGCAGATTTGTCAAAGGTTTTTTTTTTTTTGGCTGGTTGTACGAAGGGGGAATAACTCCATTCACAGGATTGATCCAAAATCTATGGAATAGATAACCTCCTTTTTATAGGTTTGGGCTTCCTTTTCTTTGATATAACAGAAGGAGGTTATGGAAGTTATGTCACCTCATGTATTAGCCCAAGGCCCCAGTTCGATGATGATGGTAGTGATGGGTCACTGTTATTTATCCGAAATGAATACCCACAGCAGCTTTCGGTCAGTCAATCACCGAAAACTTTCCCCAGATAATCAGATTATCAGATGATCTAAAAACAGACAAAACACAGTATGAACTAAGCTACATGATATAACTCTCTAATTGTAAATATTGTCTGTTGATATGTCATGTTAACAATGCCAGTAACAGGTTATTATTGGTCAGTTTGTAAGGTCTTATTCAGTGTGTGGTGTGAACCTGTCTATGATATATAAAGGATGTATCCAGTGTAACAAACTGATCGTTTTCTTAGCGTTTCTGTATTGTCCGTCCTAGTACGAAAACTCTGCTAAAACATTTCAATGTTGAGGACTTGCACAAGCAGATCACGTGCCGTATATAGTCGGTCYGGTCTTCCTTAGACTCACGTGATAAACAGGCTCAACTCAAGGATTGTGGGATTGATATGACGCACAATTCGGTGGAAGGGATGGTTAAACTTTTGAGATTTCAAATCGACCATGTGATTGCGATGCCACGGTCAGAACTTGAAATTAGCGATTGTAACTTGGCATTAACGGCAAATGCTGTTTCCTAAACTTCATACAGTTTTAGGCTATGTTTATTTTTCATTTCAAATTCCATAATTTATTTCACAACGATCATCATTTTCCAACGCGTTTTCGAAAGTACATGTGGATAACAGTAAGCCTCAACAATAGAAATTACGATTCCCTCGAAACGGTTACCCATCTAGGACTTGTACAATCTTAAAATCCGTGGAAATCGAGCTCAACAAGTTGACCAATCTTAGCGATGAACCAATTTCGCATAACATTTT